GCTTTCAACAGGATCAACACAGCAGAATTACATATGTTATCTAACTCACTTAAATAGCTATACAAACATATTAATTAATCATAAAAACACTCACCATCTGTACTGCTATTTCCTCGGCGTCTCTCAATTACATGCTGCTAAATGCCGGGTAGCGTCATGTGTGAACATGCCGCTACCCGGAAGTAGTGTATTGACGTCACCTTTGGTTACTGGGGTTACCCGACGCTGCTCCAGGCTCCCCGGCAACCGGGTAAACTAAAACAAATATAAAATATTTTATATGCCAGGTCTGATCCTCCTAATAGCCTCTCTCTTTTGTTCTGTACATGTGCACACAGACTACCCCAAAAAATGCCCTGGTGCAATCCCACGCTGGGTATCAATATAAAGTAAAAAAGAGATGCACTCTATGGTCTTTTGAAAATAATCATTAGAATTTAATATCCAACATAGTTAGATGTCCGATCGACTTTTCGACCTCTTCAGGTCTTCCTCAAGATCAGGATCTCGAGGAAGACCTGAAGAGGTCGAAACGTCGATCGGACATCTAACTGTGTTGGATATTAAATTCTAATGATTATTTTCAAAAGACCATAGAGTGTATCTCTTTTTTACTTTATATATATATATATATATAGATATATATATGTATATATATATCTATATATATATATTACTACTTGTGACGAGAGCAATCTCGCATCATTGCATTGGAGAAGCCTGGTTGCTCGCCTGCTGCCTTTGGACTATGGCCCCCATGTTAAAAGACTTTGTTTCGCCTGCAGAAAAGCTTTATTCGTGCTTTTCTGCCTGGAGTTCGGTAGATTCAATCTACCGAACAACCGCACGAATGACTGGACCACCTGGGAGCTGGCCATTTTAAACATGAGAATGCACAGCAGTGTTCAACGCTTAATTCATGGAACTGAAATCGGACACTAGTTTTGCGCGAACACCGCTGAAGCTGCCGACCTCCCTTGTTCGGTGAAAGTGCACGAACGGCCCGGTGTTCGGTAGTTTTGCTTGAATGTGTTATATCCCAGATAGGGAGCCCATTCGCATGAAACTGACTGTGTAAAGACTTTAGCTCCATGGCAATTAAACTGTATTCGTGTGGTCTGAGCGCCATTCGACCTGAGCTATCTGGGGATATGTTAAATGTATGCTTTTAATGTTATGTGTCTCACATAGTGTATTTTAATAGTAATTCCTGTGTTAGTATCCCCATGTGCATAATGGCGATAATGCCTTTGTCTTGGGAGATAATTAAATTACTTCTCAATTATCTCCAAGGCAGAGGGGAGCAAGCCAGGATGCATTGTGGGAATACAATGTGACTGTGTGTCCTATTTTGTTGATTGCCTGTCCCTTGTCACAGTCTCCCATTTGGTCCCCTAGGGGAGTGTCCACCAGGTGGGAGACCTGCATAAATACTGGGCAGGTAGCCCTCATTAAACTGACCACTGCTTGACCCTCAACACGGAGCCTTGTCTCGTCTTAGGGGGATTTACTGAATGCTGATAGAGACTGATTGCTAGGAGTGTAAGCCGCTTGGATGCTTTTCCTAGTCGTCTGCTAGCAGCGATTCGTATGGTTCCTGTTCGTGTGTTTGGAGTACTATATTGGATGCCGTTCGGGAGTTTGGAGCATTCACTTATTGGCGGTTCGTGTGTTTGGTGTTCTACAGTAGCTGTGCCTGCATCTCTGTAAAGGTGGACGTTCGCTTAAACCATTTTTACCTCTTGTGTGCAAAACGGTCCATTACAATTGGTGGCAAGCGGCGGGATCGTTCCCACAGACAACAGGATAGCTACAGGCGACACCATTCCGTGGATTTACAATTTGAGGGCAACGCATGTCTGAGTACAGCGACCCCGACACCAACAGAATGGAACCAGCAGTGTCATACAAGGAGGAGGACCTGGATGGCCGGGATGCATTAAGGAAAGGCATCTGGTACCAGGCCCTGGATAATAAACAATACAAGCAGGGTGAGAGTCTCCCCAGTGAAGAGCAGCGGTTGCAGAAGCAAGTGGCCCTGTGGATGCCATTCCTGGGAGAGCAGCCCCTGGATGAATGGGTGAAGGAATTGGAGCACCGGGTATGGCAGGAGATTTGGCTGGAAGATGCCTACCAAGTGCTCTGGTGGTATGGGGCGCAGTACCTGCCCTGGACAGTCGAGCATGACAAGCCAGAGGGAGAGGAGTTTGATGGTCCTGGTTTGTTATGGGAGGCTTTTTCAGAGCCTGAATTTGGGAGCCCTACACAAGCCCGGTTCAGTGATCTCTTGGAGTGGAGAGAGAGCAGGTATGACTGGGACGACACTCACGACATTGAACGAGACCTGGCTCACCTAGCAACCCTGGAGTGGGAACTGGAGCAGGACTACTGAGATCTCTTCCATTCCATTGAGAAGGCTCAGCAGGACAGCAAGGTGACAGATCCAGTTCCAGACCCATTCAGCTGGGAAGACATTGTTGAGATTTACTGGGAAGAACCCCAGGTGGCGGATGGAGATGGGACCGAGGTCTCTCCACCGGTATTGCAGGGAATTGGGAGCCCAGTCTCCATTCCCCAGCGGGAGATATTGCAGGGAATTGGGAGCCCGAGCTCCATTCCCCAGCGGGAGATATTGCAGGGAATTGGGAGCCCAAGCTCCATTCCCCAGCGGGAGATATTGCAGGGAATTGGGAGCCTGAGCTCCATTCCCCAGCGGCAGGCTGAGTTACAGGGGGCAGAGACAGGTGGTCCTGTCCCCAATGGCAGTGTTCATTGCAGGGAGAGGAGAGCAGCGTCCTCCCTCCCCAGTGGCAGGGTGAACTACAGGGATGCTGGGCAGTCGGCTCAGATCCCCAGTGGCAGTGTGAATTGCAGGTAATTGGGAGCCCAGTCTCCATTCCCCAGCGGCAGGCTGAGTTACAGGGGACAGAGATAGTTACTCCTGTTCCCCAGCAGCAGAATGAATTTCAGGGAATTGGGAGCCCAGTCTCCATTCCCCAGCGGCAGAATGATTTATTGGGAATTGGGAGCCCTGTCTCCATCCCCCAGCGGCAGTACGAATTATTGGGAATTGGGAGCCCAGTCTCCATTCCCCAGCGGCAGAGTGTCCTACCGGGAATAGAGAGCCCAGTCTCCTTTCCCCAGCAGCAGGACTCTGTATTGGGAGCAGAGACAGACGGTCTCCCTCCACCGCGGCTGGAAGTATATATGGGAGAGGAGCTTGTTACCCCCTCTCCCCAGTGGCAGCTTAATGTACCAGAGGGAGACAGTAAGCCCCACAACTGTGCAGATGGGACCATGGTCTCTGCACGTCCAGCACAGGGGGTAGGGACGGTCGGGTCTGCTCCCCAGCAACAGGGCTGTGTAGCCAAAGGTGAGACAGTCGGTCTCCATCAGCAGAGCTGTGTATCTAGAGGGGAGACAGTCGGTCTCCAGCAGCAGGGCGGTGTGTCTAAAGGGGAGACAGTCGGTCTCCAGCAGCAGGGCTGTGTATCCAAAGGGGAGACAGTCGGTCTCCAGCAGCAGAGCTGTGTATCTAAAGGGGAGACAGTCGGTCTCCCCTTTCAACAACCAGGCTTCAACCAGGCTACCCTCCCAGTAGCGCTGGCACCAGGGCAGAGTACCGCTGGTCTCTGCCCACGCAGCAACCCACCAAGTCAGCATACCCGTACCCAGCACAGCCGTGGTGAGACACCTGGACATGGACAAGCTTCTCCTCTACCCAGGTGTAGTAACCATTTATTGTGGGTGGGCTGTGTTTTGTGGGTGGGCTGCTGGACTAACAAGGCACTAACAAGGCACTGACCGAGCTGCGCGCGCATTCAGCCGGTCACATAGGAAAGCATTATCAATGCTTTCCTATGGACGCTTGCGTGCTCTCACTGTGATTTTCACAGTGAGAATCACGCAAGCGCCTCTAGCGGCTGTCAATGAGACAGCCACTAGAGGAAATAGGGGAAGGCTTAACCCATTCATAAACATAGCAGTTTCTCTGAAACTGCTATGTTTATGAAAAAATGGGTTAACCCTAGCTGGACCAGGCACCCAGACCACCTCATTAAGCTGAAGTGGTCTGGGTGCCTACAGTGGTCCTTTAATAATGTGCGCTCAGACCTGAGCTATCTGGGGATTTGTTAAATGTATGCTTTTAATGTTATGTGTCTCACATAGTGTATTTTAATAGTAATTCCTGTGTTAGTATCCCCACGTGCATAATGGCGATTTGCCTTTGTCTTGGGAGATAATTGAATTACTTCTCAATTATCTCCAAGGCAGAGGGGAGGAAGCCAGGATGCATTGTGGGAATACAATGTGACTGTGTGTCCTATTTTGTTGATTGTCTGTCCCCTGTCACAGTCTCCCATTTGGTCCCCTAGGGGAGTGTCCACCAGGTGGGAGACCTGCATAAATACTGGGCAGGTAGCCCTCATTAAACTGACCACTGCTTGACCCTCAACACGGAGCCTTGTCTCGTCTTTGGGGGGATTTACTGAATGCTGATAGAGACTGATTGCTAGGAGTGTAAGCCGCTTGGATGCTTTTCCTATTCGTCTGCTAGCAGCGATTCGTATGGTTCCTGTTCGTGTGTTTGGAGTGCTATATTGAATGCCGTTCGGGAGTTTGGAGCATTCACTTATTGGCGGTTCGTGTGTTTGGTGTTCTACAGTAACTGTGCCTGCATCTCTGTAAATGGGGACGATCGCCTAAACGGTTTTTACCCCTTGTGTGCAAAACGGTCCGTTACACTGCTCTTCACATGCTCTTGCTTAAGTAAGGAAACTAGAGGGATGTAGTGGAGCAAAACTGGTTTAGACTGGCTGACAATGAAATTAGTTAGGGTAAAGCTGACTTTGTGCATTATGCAAAAGCTCTTGCTGCTTCAGTCTCTCTAAGACTCTGACATGTTCCCTTTCTTCTACACTCACAACACACTTTATATAGCATGAGCTTCTGCCTACTAGTAGTGATGTCGCGAACCGTTCGCGAACTTGCGGCGAACTCCGGTCAGCTGACACATCCCTGCCAATCTCCGGCAGACCCTCCCTCCCAGACCCTGCCTTCAACATGGATGCTGTCCAGGAAGTAGGAGGGTCTGGGAGGGAGGGTCTGCCGGAGATTGGCAGGGATGTGTCAGCCTACCGGAGTTCGCCACGAATGGTTCGTGGCGAACCGTGGCGAACCGTTCACGGCAAGTTCGCGAATGGTTCGCGACATCACTACCTACTAGTAAGAAGGCTAGGAGAGGAGTGGACCAGCGAGTGCTGGGGACAGTCCATAGAAATCATAGAGCTAGCGCATCATTAGATGCATTTTTATCCAGCTCAAGGTGCTGTCTGCACAGTATGCCCTTGGTTCATCATCCTGCATGCCAGGCTAACCATTTAATTATTTGTGCCGACATGCCCTCTTTTTGGGCATATTTGTCTCTTTGGGTGGTTCTGGTTACATGATTCACATCACTGACCAGTGGCGGAACAACTGGGAACTGCTGGGGTCACATTCAAGGGGCCCATCGGGTGACCCATGCTGTTTGGCAATGAATTTCCAGGGTGCCCAGTTGCATTGTTAAAGCGCCGCAGTGCTGACCAGGCTCCCGTGATGATGTCAAATGCTGGGAGAAAGTAACTGTCCTGGTCACTTCCTCCCAGCTATCATAAAGAGCCGCCCGGAAGGAGGAGGGAGTCAGTCTGAGCCACTGGACCCCAGGGGAAGTCACCCTCCTGCACCTAACAGGTAGGAAACAGGATGGTGACTAAAACATTTAGCATGTGTGTTTGTTTGTGTATGTGTGTCTGCATGTATGTCTCTGTATGTGTGTGTTTGTATGTATGTGTCTGCGTATATTTGGATAAGATTTTGTCCCCTATTGTTTCAAAGTTACCATCGTACATAAGAGATACGAAACAGATGTTGAATTTTCTGAAGGATGTTTCTATACCAGAACAAGCATTACTATGCAGTTTAGATGTAGAGTCACTGTATAGCTCTATACCTCATACACAGGGAATTGACAACATCAGAACTATCCTTGAACAAGAATTACAATACCCAGTCGCTTATATAGATCTTATCTCTAATATACTCAGAACAGTTCTTACAAAGAATATTTTTCTTTTTAATGGTACCATCTACCAGCAGATAAGTGGGACAGCGATGGGGACATCCTGTGCCCCCGCCTACGCAAACCTTTATTTTGGTACCTGGGAAAAAGATATAAGATCAGCTCTACATCTAAGTCGTTTTATAGGGATGATATCATGTTGGAAACGGTACATTGATGATGTACTAATCGTATGGACAGGGAGCAAGAAAGACTTTGAAATCTTCGTAAGTCTCCTAAATTTGAATGATCTCAATCTAAGATTCACCAGTGAGATTGGTGGCAAACAACTCAACTTCTTAGATATAACTGTGACCATTCAGTCCGGAGGTGGAGTTTCAACAACTCTTTTCAAAAAACAAACTGCCACCAACAGTCTTCTTAATTGGCATAGCCATCACCCCCAGCCCCTCAAGGCGGGCATACAAATAGGACAGTACCTACGATTGAGGCGTAATTGCTCCTCTATTGAGGATTTCAAAATTAAAGCATGGGACCTTAGTCGAGCTTTTAAGGACAAGTGCTACCCCAATAGAGTCCTACGAAAAGCATACGCTAGAGCAATCAGCACTGCCCGTGATTCACTTCTTACTGATGAAAAAGCACAAGGCCAGGATCAAAAATTGATCCGTTGCATTGCCACATATGATGCAGGTTGGGACTTTATGATGAGTGTACTGAAACGCTACTGGCCGATTTTGACGTCTGACCCACAAGTAAAACAGGTAGTCACTACATTCCCCTCTGTGACTGCACGGAGAGTTAAAAATCTACGTGACACGTTGGTACAAGTCACCTAGCCCCCCTTAAAACAGGGATCAACAACTACCTACCTAAAAGGACTTATAGATGCGGGCGTTGCAGTGCCTGTGAATTCATTGATAAAAAATCCAAAGAATTCCCGGACAGTAATAACGGAGAAAACTTCTCTGTCCATTCATTTTTTAATTGTAGGACAGAGGGTGTCATCTATTTACTTACATGCTCGTGCGGCATTAAGTACGTGGGGAAAAGTTTTAGATCCTTCAAACTAAGGATTAGGGAACACGTCAATTCGGTTAGACCCTTGGAAACCCCAATATCACGTCACTTGAAAGTTCATCATCTGAATTCTGCTAATAAATTAAAGTTTATGGGGATAGAACATATCCCACAAACTCAAAGGAAGGGGGACTGGGATAGGAAACCGAGACAGCGTGAGTCCTACTGGATTTACAAACTCAAGACCCTCTCCCCTGCAGGCTTGAATGAGGGCTTTTCATTTGCTGCCTTCCTTTAATCTGCCCTCCTAACCTTCACTTTTTCATTCTTACTCTTTCTGTCTTTGATGTACATCTGGCAGGGAAATCCCTACCATATCCTTATATGGATACAATATATTGCACTGTATATATGTTACATTTATCACACACCACTACCTTTTATATCTAGTATCTTTATTTATTTATTCTTCCTGTCTATTTATTTATTTTCTTTATAAAATATGGGACTATGCTGACCCAATGAGATTGGATCAATAAGTATCACTCTTCAAGCCTCTATATATATGACTTTTGAATTGCATAGTTATCACTTAGCTAAGCCCTTTGGCTGATTTATCCCTGCGTATTACGATCCAGGGATTCTAGTATGATTTAAGTAAGGATATGGGATCATACTGACCCAATGGGATTTAATCTATAAGTATTATCTTTCAAAACCCTATGTATATAACCTGTGAATTGTCAGTAATTACTTAGCCTTTTGGCTGATCCACTCTTGCGCATTATGATCCAGGGATTCAAGTAACTGTCCATTTTTGCTTTATATCAGTGTAAATTATAGCACTCCTATGGCACTCATTTCATGTTCTGGTTATTAAGGTGATTTTACAATCATATCCCTCAAACGAGCGCTCTACCTCGTCGGGTTTCAAACAGAGGGTTTCCCTTCGAATATGGGGTATTGCTGTCACTCAGCAGCTTAACCACTCCCACACTGCCCCCAAGTGGGCTCTATGCGATCCCGTAATCACGACCCTCCGCTCACGTCACGATTCACGTCACATGATGCGGCCGATAAGGGACGGCATTGGCTAAATACCGGACCAATGAGGAATTAGCAATTACGGCAGGATACTACACACAGCATCTCACAATTTTCAATGATTGCAACAAAGGGTATTTAAATGGATAAAGGGAACTTTAAAAGTTTATTGCTCCTGACGATGGCGTGCCGAAACGTGTGTCGAGCTTACTTTTTTTATTTTCTTTTGCTCACTTTTTTGGTAGCACTTATGAATTTATTTGTTTAAATCTTTGTAATTTTTAGGACTAATAGGGATTAGGATCCGGGTAGGCACTTGTGGTTTTTCAACACAGTGCCGAGGTAACTAGGGAAAGCTTCCTACTGATAGAAGTCTCTCTTTGGGCATAGAAATTTGGGGTACTTTAACTTCTCCTAAAGAGGTCTTTTTCTACCTCTATATACAGGCTCAGTTTTTTAGCTACTTCTATAACCTGGATTGGTTACCTATGAGACTCAGGGTGCATTTTGTTTAACCCTTAGGTTAGAATTTGCCAGGCAGTCTCTTTTCTTTATAGCAGACACCTGTTTTTCTGTAACTGTCTCTAGATGGTTTACCATTTAAATTCCCTTATCCCATCTGTCCTATTTTAAATTGTGTTTTCCTTTAGGATTATTAAAGGTAGGGACCCCCTTCCCCCTCTATTACTCTCCCACTGAGGACTCATTTAGTCCCCTCTCCTTTCTTTCTTTTATATTAACTCCGTGGGTTATTCCCCAAATAGGGAGAGTAATCTTAGGGCTCTTTGGCACTAATTCATTGGTCAGGTATTGTGACCTCTGAATCAGAGCCATCACTATTCTTTTCTCCCTTATGTATCTGCGTATATATGTGTCTGCATGTATGTGTGTGTGTTTGTATGTGTGTGTATGTTTGTATTTATGTGTCTGTATGTATGTTTGTACAGTATGTATGTGTGTATGTATGTATGTCTCTGTATGTGTGTCTGTATATATGTGTGTGTGTGTTTGTATGTATGTGTCTATATGTCTGTGTGTGTTTATGTGTGTCTGTATGTATGTGTCTCTGTATGTATGTGTGTGTGTGTCTGTATGTATGTGTCTCTGTATGTATGTGTTTGTGTGTCTGTATGTATGTGTCTCTGTATGTATGTGTGTATGTGTGTCTGTATGTATGTGTGTGTGTGTCTGTATGTATGTGTGTGTTTGTATGTCTGTATGTGTATGAGTGTCTGTATGTGTGTGCATGTCTGTGTGTCTGTATGTCTGTGTGTGTATGTGTGTCTGTATGTGTGTCTGTATGTGTGTATCTGTATGTATGTGTGTCTGTATGTATGTGTAATGTGTGTGTCTGTATGTGCGTGTGTGAATGTATGTGTGTGTCTGTCTGTCTGTCTGTCTGTCTGTATGTATGTATGTATGTGTATGTATGTATGTATGTATGTGTGTCTGTATGTGTGTGTGTCTGTATGTGTATGTGTCTGTATGTGTGTGTGTATGTATATGTATTTCTGCACCTATGTGTGTGTGTGTCTGTCATGTGTGTGTCTGTATATATGTGTGTGTGTGTGTTTGTAAGTCTGTATGTGAATGTGTATCTGTATGTGTGTCTGTATGTATGTGTGTCTGTAAGTATGTGTGTGTATGTATGTGTCTATGTGTGTCTGTGTGTCTGCATGTGTATCTGTTTGACAGCATTTGTGTCTATATGTGAGATGTATGGGCAGGTGGGGCAGGGCAATTTTTGCACCGGAGCCCAATTGTTTCTAGTTATGCCTCTGTCATTGACCCATCCTTTTACCCCGCCCATTGAAATCCTGAAGCGAGAAATTAGCATAAGGTATGTGTTTTCTCATAGCCTGTGAGATTCCCTCCAGCACCACCTCCACCAGATACATGACGCTTAGGAGGTATGACTGTTTTAGTGTTTTCTGTAAATATGATTCTGTAATAAGGCACATTATAATTGTCAGAACCAGACACAATGGGTTCTTAATCTGGCCCTGGCCAGGAGTGCACTGGTGCC